CCTAAATCCCCAAATCCCTAAATCCCCATATCCCTAAATCCCCAAATCCCTAAATCCCCATATCCCTAAATCCCCAAATCCCTAAATCCCCATATCCCTAAATCCCCAAATCCCTAAATCCCCATATCCCTAAATCCCCAAATCCCTAAATCCCCATATTATCCTTAATTCCCCAAATCCCTAAATCCCCATATCCCTAAATCCCCATATCCTTAAATCCCCATATCCCTAAATCCCCAAATCCCTAAATCCCCATATCCCTAAATCCCCAAATCCCTAAATCCCCATATCCCTAAATCCCCATATCCTTAAATCCCCAAATCCCTAAATCCCCATATCCCCAAATCCCTAAATCCTCAAATTCCTAAATCCCAAAATCCCTATATTTTCATATTTACCCCCATGTCCCCAAAATCCTAAGTCCCTAGATCCACAACTTTCTAATCCATTCCCAAATATTTAGATGAGCAAAATCAGCGAGCGAGCGTGCTCTTCCCCCATCGGCCGTTTTCCCTAGGGAAATTAGATTTGCTCTCGACTGTACGCCACTTAATCTCAATCCTCGGGCCATATTTAAAACAAACCAATATCCATAGCGGTTTGCGATATCCCATATCGCGGGATATTGTTAAAAGAAAAGAACAAATCGATATCCATAAAGGCAGTATTATACAAGTGAATATTCTTTTTTAATAAAACCAATACTCGCGGAGGTATTGCATATTACCAACCTCATGCTTTTAAAGAAGACCCTTTAAAACCTGTGCACCGCCAATAAAAATATAACCCAACTCGTTTCATCCTAAATCGAATTTTTGCAATTTATTATTTCTCTTCTTTTTGACGAAATCAATTTCATTGTTCGAGTGAAATTTATTGAACTAATCTCGTCGTCCTTTTATTGAAAATAAAATGGTAACAGGTTAGGTTTAAATAAAAGTATAACTGTTACAATAGTATTTTCCTTATGGTAGTTCAACCTCATATATTGCATAACTTCATATATTGCATTTTTAGAGAAAGTACGAAATAACAGTTTGGAATCATTTTATATCATGTAGGGTTCAGTTAATTGACACCTGGTTGCAGTGCGAATCTTATTGGTCCATCTGCCATCTTGTCAGACGTACAGTGTCTAACCCTTATCCTGCAATCCATCGCCTTATTCCGCATTTAACATTTAATACCTTCATGTATACTTATGTTATAAATATTGCCATAAACATTTATCAAAAATCTGATCAGTAATTCATGTAGAACCAATAACAACCTGGCTTCAAGGGATTCAGAAATGGCGAAATGCGCAGCATAGGAGCTAATAAATTAGCCGTAGCTCATTAACACCGAGGTGCAGTGTATCGTTCGATACCGTCATCGTTAGTTTTCGTAGCGGGATTTACGATCCATCTGATTCGTTTAACGCGAAGGTCGAGCGAGAACTGGACGAGACGTTTCCTCGAACAAAATCGCGAGAAACCTGCCGTGTTATCTACTTTCCACAAACATGCGGAGTGTGTCCGATCAATAAACGGCTGGCCTCCACCAGGCTCTCTCTCCTCCGTGTAACCCTCGAATCTTGGCCACGCGTCTCGAACGCAGAAACGAGACTGGCGGGCCGCACCTCTGTACACTGCCTACTTAATAAACACCCGCTTTCCGGGCTCCGGGGGCGGGCTCACAGAAACGGTCATTTATCGAGCGTTCATTGTCGCCAGCGCTCACAATCATCCACAAGTATATTATTTTTCAATTATCATTATTTTATATTACATTATCATGTGAAATGTAATAAGACATGCGAAATAATATAAATATTGTATGTATGCTGGGTGGATGCATGTAAAATGTGATGCACATATGAGACGGTCATTTATCGAGCAGCCAATTCTCCTGGATTTAAAAAATACGTCATTTGTGAATTATTGTTCCTTCCAGGTTATACCATAGCATGTAATATAATAAGTCCCATCATATAGAAAATTATGAACACAGAGGATAATACAAATAATTCATTTTGCAATACAGTATGAAAAATAATATACATAACGTGATAAATAAATAGGAAATTTGCACAGCTAAAGTTTAAGCAATTGGTGTCAGAAAATTTGAAAATATAAACAGCATAGACACCGAGAAATTCGTCGCTCGTTACTGGCAGCTCGATAAGTGACCGCCCCGTAAGAGTCCGCAGCCCCTACCCCGAGTATCTACCGAGCGTCGTGAATCACGGATGCACCGTCCGTCACAATCGCTGGAATAAAAACACGAGCAACAGTTTGCCTTCGGAACGAACCCTCTGTCTCCGTACGCGGCGAAGCGTCGCGACGCGACGCAGGCGGAAAAACAAACTGGAACAAAAGCCTACCGAGCGACGTCAAACAGAGGGTGCACAATGCAAAAATTCGGTCAACCCGGAGGGAGGTTACGGCCCGTCGTCGTTATTTATAATTGAACGTGTACACGGTGAATTATGTACATTTCGGTTGAACCGAGTCGGGGAAAAGTAAATTTGGTCAGACAGGTAGGAGAAACACTGCTGGCGCTACTGTAGGAACGAGTGATTCCTCGGGCAACAATTGTTTCGGGATGTCTTTGTTCTTAATGCACGGCATGCCCTTTCGCTATGCAGGGAGCGACCTGTGGATGCTGCTGCACGGTATAGTGACGTAGGGATGCCACTAGGCGAACGGGTACCCTGGGTGTTTTGGTGTAGGAATGTTTCGAGTGTGTTTGTGGTGGGTTTGGGATGGGGAGTGGGGTTTTGGAGATTTGGGGATTTAGGGATTTGTGGATTTGGAGATTTGGAGATTTGGAGACTTGGAAATTTGGAGATTTAGGGATTTAGGGATTTGGAGTCGTGGAAATTTGGAGATTTAGGGATTTGGAGTCTTGGGGATTTGGAGATTTAGGGACTTGAAGGCGTAGAGCTTTGGAGTCTTGGGGATTTTGAGATTTAGGGATTTGAAGGCGTAGAGCTTTGGAGATTTAGGGATTTGGAGTCTTGGGAATTTGGAGATTTAGGGATTTGGAGTCTTGGAGATTTGGAGATTTAGGGATTTGGAGTCTTAGGAATTTGGAAATTTAGGGATTTGGAATCTTGGAAATTTGGAGTTTTAGGGATTTGGAGTCTTGGGGATTTGAAAGCGTAGAGCTTTGGAGATTTAGGGATTTGGAGTCGTGGGAATTTGGAGATTTGGGGATTTGTGGATTTGTGGATTTGGGGATTTAGGGATTTGGAAATTTGGAGATTTGGAGACTTGGAAATTTGGAGATTTAGGGATTTGGAGTCTTGGGGATTTGGAGATTTAGGGAATTGAAGGCGTAGAGCTTTGGAGATTTAGGGATTTGGAGTCTTGGGGATTTTGAGATTTAGGGATTTGGTGTATTGGCGATTTAAAGGCGTAGATCTTTGAAGACGTAGATCTTTGCAGACGTATAGCTTTGGAGATTTAGGGATTTGCAGATTTAGGAATTGAGAGATTTAAGGATTTGGAGATTAAGGATTTTGGAGAAGTATAGCTTTGGAGATTTAGGGATTTGGAGATTTAAGGATTCAGAGGAGTAGAGCATTGGGAACTTGAAATTTTTTAATTTCAGAATTTTGGAGTTTTGTAGTCTTACAGTTTTGTAGTCTTACAGTTTTGAAGTCTTATAGTTTTGGACTTTTATAGTTTTTGAAGTCTTGAAGCTTTGAAGTTTTACGACTTTAGAATCTCAATAAATTCAATCACCCCAAAATTGCCATGAGTAGAATATTTAGAAGTACCACGAAAGTTTAAGCACGCTACCCTATCGTTTACTCATTCAAAGCCTAGTTTCCCCCGAGTGTACACATCGTTCACAAGCATATTCGCGAAATGATCCCGGGATTACACGCGAAAGCATTCCAGGTTTATCTGATGTCAGAAAAAGACATCGAAGAGGTGTTTAGGTAATAGTCACTTGGCAACCGTGATCGATTTCCAAGATTACACTTGCACCTTGTCTGATCGATCGATCGCTTTGTGACGACACGATGGTGAAATGTCGTAACAGCAGTTACATCGGTATGACACAGGGTGGTGATAATGATTTCACTGGTCTCAAGGGTGCAAGGTATACATATCCGTCTATATGTGGTCCGTTATTGCATGGGACAGAAATAAAAGGGGAACGATCAATTGGTCGATTCGATTTATCAATTAAATGTTATGGAGAACCAATCGAGAAACTGCTATACGAAATAACGTGTCATTATTCCGTAATTACATTGCTATACGGTTCATTTCGGTTCGATTACACTGGAATTGCTTTTCGTTTAACCTTTCGATTCAGTTACGTCTTCTTATTAAGCGATGCAATTGTATTTTCATTAATTGAATTTATTAGTTTTATTTATTATATTATAGACAGTGACAAAAATAATTTTTGCTAATTTTCAATGAGTTATGGGTTTATTAAGTTTATAGCCATGTTAGATTCGCCATTTTGAATTTTTATGTTCTAATTACGTGTTCACAATGTAGTAATTTCGAGAAACTTAGGGCTCTTGCTTAGAATGCATTTTGACTAATTTTTCGTGAGGTGTAGGTTTATTAAATATACAGCCGCCATATTTGATCCGCCATTTTGAATTTGTAGATGACAAAATGGAGTAGACATGTACACCTCAATTTTGAGGTTCACTCAACATTTATTAATTTTTAAGAAATGTATATACTTCAGAAACTATATGTATTACATTTTATATATATTGCATATATTACTACAAGTAAAATAATTATATATATGCTTGATTTTTAATAGTACACTATTTTTATCACCAAGGAAAACTTACTTTTTGACTGTCTTCGAAGATGGTTACTCAAATATTTTAAATTGCAACATGCAAACAAATGAACAAATTAACCACTTTTTAGCAAAAAAATGATTTTCCTTAACATAGTATCACGTGGTTCGAAAGAGTGAGCATGATGGTGATTCTATTGAATTGCATTACACTCGGTATGTACCAGCCGTGCGTCGACGACCAATGTGTAACAAACCGCTGTAAAATCTTACAAGTACGTATACAAATATCAAACCATGTCAAATAAGTAGATTAAATAATTAAATTTCATTAATTTCTCCCGCATGCACAATTTTTATTGTATCAAAGTGAAAAGCTGGCAATTTCACGCGTGACGATTAGAAGCCATTGATAAAATCTCTATACATGGCCGACCGCGTTAAGTTGCCTTAATTAATGGCACCGCTTAATTGCCAACTCATGCAGAAGGTGAATACGTTCACAGTTTGCGATCTAGTTAAGCTGTATTCCCATTTCGGATTATGGCCAATGTTTATTTTCCATTAACAGATGTATACAGACTGGAATATCGTTTAGACTGATTTTATGCGAAATATGCCATTTATGAAGTGGTGATATACGGGGAGGGAAAATATTTTGTACGGAGAAATCAGCTTATGTAGAGAAATTTTTATTTTAAATCCATTTAGAACTGTTTTGGGTGGACTCTTATTATATTGCCATTTTTATACGGACTTTATATCACACTTTTATTATTATAGAATTGCCTCATGACTTCAATACAACAAATGTGAGATATTTCTATTTAATCAGTTCCATTTTAATCTCACGGCAATATAACGAGAGTCTATTATACTTATAGTGTACTCCTTTGTGAAGATACACAGAAAAATATCTGTACCTTGAAATAGTTTTAATAATTCCAATAGATTGTCTCGATACAACTTTCTTCACTATATATTGCATAAAATTCAGATTACTTTGAAATAGTTTTAACAATTCCAATAAATTATTTCAGTACAATTTTCTTCTCCATATATTGCATAAAATTCAGATTACTTTGAATCAGTTTTAACAATTTCAATAAATTGTTTCAATACAACTTTCTTCACCATATATTGCATAAAATTAAAATCACCTTGAAATAGTTTTAACAATTCCAATAAATTATTTCAGTACAACTTTCTTCACTATATATTGCATAAAATTCAAACTACTTCAAAATAGTTTTAATAATTTCAATAAATTATTTCAGTACAACTATCCTCAGTATATATTGCATAAAATTCAAACTACTTCAAAACAGTTTTAATAATTTCAATAAATTATTTCAGTACAACTACCCTCACCATATATTGCATAAAATTCAAACTACTTCAAAACAGTTTCAATAATTTCAATAAATTATTTCAGTACAACTACCCCCGCCATATATTGCATAAAATTCACCAAGTTTTGTCAATGAAATTATCGTTTTATTTTTCTGTTACGACATTTAATATTCGTACTTCAGTTTCGAAATTGCAATATTTTCAACCAAAATGGAAGAAATATCCTCGGTTTCAATATGAAATTGTATTTTCCGCCATTATTGCAACTCGAGACGATGCATTATCATAAAGCTAGATGACTGGTCCACGTCCATGACCTTTAACCGTTTAAGAACGAGTATTATAAACGAGCCTTACCGCGCAGGACACGTCCAAATTTGAACATTGACAAGTAGGCCATGCTAAGTACATATGTATAAGTATGTTTCACGTACCAAGATTTGCTATTTATAAATTATGTAGCTGTTTAATTCTTACAAGAAATATATACACTCTTGAATAACTTTTTAACATTGTTAAATTACCCAATTTTCAGATTCTTTAAATTTTTTAATTTCTTGCTAAGTTCCCAAATTTAAACATACACATTCTCAAATTTTATAAATCTTCCAATATTCAATCTCCTTAGTTGTCTACATTCACTAGTACTCACACGTGAAAGTACATAGACTCATTCATTTGTTACTAAATTTTCAAACTTCCAAATTCATGTGTCAGTAAATTTTCAAACTTTTAAATTCATAACTCAGCTAATTTTCAAACTTCCAAATTCATGTATCAGCACATTCTGAAACTCTCAAATTCATACATCAACAAACTTCAAATTTCATACCAAATTTCCCTACTTTCTCAAAATAAAAACCTGCCACAAAATCAACCCTTCAAAACATTCTGCCAGAAACAGTGCACAGTGAAAATTGAGCAGTGCCAAATTTCGGGAGTAACAAAATTACCATCTCCATTAACGTTTGCCAAACCGTCAATGCCATATAGAGCGTGGAATTTCCGCGCAGCGAGCTCAACTTGTTTCATTTTGTCGCAGATGCGACCGTTTACCGATCAATTTCTCGTTTAATTTGTTGACTGCACAAGTCTACCGTAACTGTTTGGCCTGGTTTTATAGTACTTTATTAAGTATGTGCCTTATGTACGTCTTGTCAGATACAGCAGTAGGGTAAACCGGTGTTTTAAAACGATTGATACTTTAACCACGGTTTAAAGTGGAGTAGAGTTTCTTTATACAAAGTGTTCCATAAAGAAGATTACCTTTATTGATGTATCTTATGCCATTTTATACTTTGTCTTCCATTTAAAAAATTAGATTGTGTGACTCATCGAAGATTGAGAACCTCTGAGTAATGAAAAATGAGTGAACAAAATAATAAAACATTTTGTAGGTTAATTTTTATGATTTATATAAAGTGTTCCATTGAGTAGAATACTTTTATCAATATATCTTATGCCATTTTATACTTTGTCTTCCATTTAAAAAATTAGATTGTGTGACTCATCGAAGATTGAGAACCTCTGAGTAACAAAAAAGGATGAACAAAATAACAAAATATTTTGTAGGTTAATTTTTATGATTTATATAAAGTGTTCCATTAAGTAGAATACTTTTATCAATGTATCTCAAGCCATTTTATACTTTGTCTTTCATTTAAAAAATTAGATTATGTGACTCATAAGAGATTGAGAACCTCTGAGTAACAAAAAAGGATGAACAAAATAACAAAATATTTTTCAGGTTAATTTTGATAATTTACAAAAGATGTCCAATAAAAAATAATACCTTTATCAATAAATTTATTGAACCATGTTATATTATGTACATCTCAAGAACTCTTTTATTTGAAAACAATATATGATGTGCTAAAAGAAATGAGAACCCCTGAATAACAAGATAGAAATAAATAAAATAAGAAATATTTGTACATTAATTTTTATGTAGAGGTTGAGAATCACTGAGCTTCCCCTTTTACTATTTTGCAGTGTGTTACTGAATGGTCGTATAATATTTTATGCAAAGACGTTCCAGTCTGTACGACCCGAAAGAAAATTATTCAAGTCCCCTTTTGAGGTTACGACAGGAAATTCGTGGCTGAAGATGTGAAGTGTCATACATAAAAGATTGGTTGAGAACCACTTTACTTCTCCATTTACTATTTTGCAGTATGTGTTACTGAATGTATCTACAATACGTAAAGAAATTGTAGCAAGTTTATGTAAATAAATTATTCGAGTCCTTTTTTAAGGTTAGGAAATTCGTAGCTGTTGTTATATAAAATAGAGGTTGAGAACCACTTTACTTTCCCTTTTACTATTTTGCAGTATGTATTATTGGTCCTATAATAATTTACTTAAAGAAATTCCAATAGGTTCGCCATATAAATAAATTATTAGGGTCCCTTTTTGAGGTTAGGACAGCAAATTCTCTTCAAGATATGAAGTGTTATACAAAATGGAGGTTGAGAACCACTTTCCATCTACTATTTTGCAGTACACTATATCTCGCATAAAGATGTTCCAGTCTGTACAACCACGAAAGCAAACAACCCCCTTTTGAGGTTATGAAATTCGCAGCCATTGAAGATAAATCGAAATTCTTAAGTCGTTGTTTGATTAATCGCAGTGTTTGCATTGCCATTTCACACTGACCATTGCACGCACACAGAGTGAAAAGGGAAGCAAACACGAGAAACCAACAACGTTGTTGATCAGCAATTGGAACTTGTGTCGAGTGTCCTCGATCAATTATACTCGATCGGGTTAAGCGTCCTTTCGCCTAATCGACCAATGTTATGTTCACGTTCGCAGATGTTCGACGACATCATTTTTGCCTTCTTCTCCTTGGAAATGACAATCAAAATGGTCGCGATGGGGATATACGGAAAGGGGACCTACCTCGCTGACTCGTGGAACAGGTTGGACTTCTTTATTGTGGCTGCTGGGTAAGTGATCGCTCGCTTTCTGAACGTTTACTGTTGCTCGTGTACTTTGGATTCAATATGAACTTTGTGAAGAATCATTCTTTTGTTTGATGATAATTAAGCTTCTGTTTGATAATAATTAAAATTTTTCTGGAGAATTGGGGATTTTATTGAAAGCAACACATTTTAACGATTGAGAACCTCTGTGGTACATTAGAATATAGTTAAAATTTCGTTCAAGCTATTGTGAATATGTTGGCTGATTTTTAAGACGTGTTCATCTCCTATAATTTGTAATAAATATGCATATCTACTGTAGTTTTCAAAAGATGCATACCTACAGTAGATTTCAAAATATACATAACTACAGTAGTTTTCAAGATGGGTACAATAAAGTATCAAGCTTTTACGACATGCACATCTATTGTAGTCTTCAAGACAAGCATAATTACAGTAGATTTCAAAATATACATAACTACAGTAGATTTCAAAATATACATAACTACAGTAGTTTTCAAAATATACATAACTACAGTAGTACAATAAAGTATCAAACTTCTAAGACATGCACAAGTACTGTAGTCTTCAAGACAAGCATAACTACAGTGTATTTAAAAATACCCATAACTACAGGACTTTTCAAAATATGCACAAGAAAATATTAAGTGTCTCCCCAATTTTTAAGGTACTTTCGTCATCCCAAGACCCAAAAAGTCAAACTTGTAATATTTTTGCAGAAATCTGACCTCAAGAAGAACTTGAAATCGCAAGCTTCCGAACATCCCTAATTACCCGGAACCATTAGTTAAGTTCCGTACTAGGTTAATTAGTTTCCATGTAACTAGTGCCAAGTTTAATAGAATTAGAGACTCGAATTTATTATGCAGTTGAAATTTGACAGGAATTTTTCGATTTGGAGCGTGACCAGGTCAATAGGTACACGTCAATTCGGATTCAATTGTTTTCCGCTTACTGACGGGTGAAAAACAGTGATCGAACTTGGCATCTGACAGCAGATAAACGATAAATTATTGAAACGAGTATTACACGGAAGATTTTATTAGATTTCTTTCCAATTTTCAATGGACGTAAAAAAGGAGGAAGTGAAAATGTCAGTCATGAAACACCTCTTTCGTTAATGGACCGCAGCGATTATATGGAAATAGGCGAGTACACGGAAAGAATGTAGAAAGGTATGTGCATAGCAAACGAGTGAACTGAAGAAAAATAACAGTGGTCTATTCAGGAGACACTTACCTTCCGTTAATGGACCGCAGCGGATGTGCATCTATTAAACGATAATACGGGTATACAGTGAAATAGAATATATACAGAGCACATAAAAAGTGAAACGAAGACAGAGTAGACTATTTATGAAACACTTACCTCGACACGAACGTATATGTCTGCAGAGACATATGTTCATGGAAAATAGAATACAAGTTTTGTTATACAGAAAGTGTGTAAAAGAGATACAAAAAGTAACGGCCATGCAACACTCTCGTTAATAGTCATACAGAAGCCATATTTTGCCCGGGGTGAAAAAAATCTACTGTTATTATTAAAATAAAAAGCGTCACCATTCGTGGTGCGAATGAAATTTTCAAATGGCCTCTCGGAAAATGGACAGTGGTTTTCTCACTGAAAATAAATCTGAGGTTCAGTTTTTGGCGCGTGGAGTTGCCGCGTTTGGAATTATGGCGCTTGGAATTCCAACACGTGGAATTACGGCGCGTAGAGTTACCACGCTTGGAATTACGGTGCGTGGAATTACCGCGCTTGGAATTCCAACGCGTGGAATTACCACGCTTGGAATTCCAACGCGTGGAATTACCACGCTTGGTATTCCAACGCGTGGAATTACGGTGCGTGGAGTTACCACGCGTGGAATTACCACGCTTGGAATTCCAACGCGTAGAATTACGGTGCGTGGAGTTACCACGCGTGGAATTACCACGCTTGGAATTCCAACGCGTGGAATTATGGCGCTTGGAATTCCAACGCGTGGTATTACGGTGCGTGGAGTTACCACGCGTGGAATTACCACGCTTGGAATTCCAACGCGTGGAATTATGGCGCTTGGAATTCCAACGCGTGGTATTACGGTGCGTGGAGTTACCACGCGTGGAATTACGGCGCGTGGAACTATGGCGCATGGAATTCCAGCAAAGACCGCCCAAATATAATTCCCCATTAAATCAATTTGCGACTGCATTCCACTTATAATGTACATTAAAATGCAATCGTTATTCAATCGGTTCAATTCTGATCAGTATCGCAGAATGAAATGTCGTTCCCCAAGCAAAAGACCGAAAACAAAGGTTTGCTTTTCCTGGTGCTTTGTAATAGTCCCTCGACGAAGTTCGATACGGAGAGTCGAAGATCAAAGAGTGGAAGTGAAAAAGTGGCTGAAAGCGACGTACAAGTTTTGTTGGCAATCGTGGCAGCTGATATTGACCAGACCTGCGGGGAACTTTAAGAGAGAGACAAAAGTCGGTAGCACACGGAAAGCAATGAGACTGCGAAAAATCGAGAGGGAAAAATAGCTGTGTGGTTGGGAAGGTAGTAGTATTGCTACAGAGTCATTTATTGTAACACGGAGCACTTGGAAGACGGTTTTGAAGTAATGTGATGTGACAATTGTGGAGATTCTTTTTTAATACAATTTTGGATTTAGGGGTATAGGAATTTAGGGTCACAGGGATTTAGGGAGTTAGGAAGTTAGGGATTTACGGGTACAGGGATTTAGGGGCGCAGGGATTTACGTGTATAGGGATTTAGCAGTTCGGGGAATTAGGAGTATAGGGATTTAGAAGTACAGGGATTTAGGAGTATAGGGATTTAGAAGTACAGGGATTTGGGAGTATAGGGATTTAGAGGTACAGGGATTTAGGAGTACAGGGACTTAGAGGTACAGGAATTTACTGAGTTAAGATTTAGGGGTTTAGGGATTAAAAAATGTAGGTTCTGGAAATTTGCAAGTTTGAAAATTTTGTGAATAACAAATTTTGTGAACTTAGAGATTTGAAATTACTCTTCATATTGACACTAATTTTTCTTGCTTCCCTGCTCTGAAGAAGTTCGCTGCTGAGCCAACAGCCCCCGGGCCTCCAAAGAGTTTAACACGTCTATGGAATTAAGGACGACCTAAAAAAAAGTCCTCCAGTCTTGTGAACCTAACAATCGTTAAAATATTGTTGCTTTTGATATACATCCTCGTATTCGCGTTATTCGAAGCAACATTTCTGTAACGCGTCAATTTTGCTGATAGATCGAGCGTAATAAATAAAGCTTAATAAATGTTGACGCGATATCGAAGGAAATTTTATTTGATTTTTATTGCAGCGCTCTCGAGTACTGCTTGAACGTGGAAAATATGAATTTATCGGCGATAAGGACAATACGAGTCCTGAGACCTTTACGTGCCATCAACAGAATTCCAAGTGAGTATGAAAACAACCTATAAAATTTTATTTATCGAATGCTGTTGACCTCGTTGTGCACGTTATTTAAGCTTCTATGGAGATGCGCTAATGTCTGTCCAAGATACAGATCGATAGGAGGGAAATTTTATGTCGGGGGATTTTGATATTTTTGGATTTGAGAATTGGAGTTTTTGCAAATTTTGACGATTTGGGGATTTGGGATTTTTGGAAATTTGGGAAATGGGAAATTAGGAAATTGGGAAATTGGGGAGTTGGGAAATTGGGGAGTTGGGAAATTGGGGAGTTGGAAAATTGGGAAATTGGGAAATTGGCAAATTCGGAAATTGAGAAATTGGAAAAAGGGGGAGTTGGAAAATTTGGAAATTTGGGAGATGGAAAATTAGGAAATTGGGAAATTGGGAAATTGAGAAATTGGAAAATTAGAAATTTGGAAAATGGGATAATTGGAAAATTGAAAAATTGGGAAATTGAGAAATTGGAAAATTGGAAAATTGGAACTTTGGAAAATGGGATAATTGGAAAATTGAGAAATTGGAAAATTGGAAATTTGGAAAATGGGATAATTGGAAAATTGGAAAATTGAAAAATTGGGAAATTGGAAAATGGAAAAATGGGGAAATTGGGAAATTGAAAAATGGGAAAATTTAGAAATTTGAAATGTAAAAATTTGAAAAATAAAAAATTTACAAACCTCCAAATTTCAAAATTTAAATCATCTTTCCAAATGACCATCTTTTCTCTAAATGGGTAAATATTTGTAAAGCAAATGAAAACACGTTGAAAATGCAATAAAATATCTGCTTCGGTGTCCACACGTGGGCGATGAGAACTTTCGCACACCTCTAATACATACGTATATGTATAGTCAATTGTGCAAAAACAAGCTCGTTACCAGGAAAACCAAATTTAAATTCTTTTGTCGGGTACACGTGGAGTGTAAATTGACCTTGAAAATCATCCGAAATTCAACTACGTTTCTATTAATAGTACTGTGTTAATGAGGGAATTCATTAGAAGGAGTCATGACAGATTTTTGCTCATTAATCACTTCAAAATGTATGTTTCTCTTATTTTTAAATATTCGAACTTTGGGAAGAATGGATTATAGGGTTACTACATATTCAAAGACTCTAATTTAAAAATTGTAAATTTCCAAATTTCCAAATTAGTAAATTCTTTAATTTTCCACTTTTCCAATTTTCCAATTTTCCAATTTTCCAACTTCCTAATTACCCAATTTCCCATTTTTCCAATTTCTCAATTTCCCAATTTCCCAATTTCCTCATTTCCTAATTTCCTAATTTCCTAATTTCCCAATTTCCCAATTTCCTAATATCCCAATTTCCCAATTTCCCAATTTCCCAATTTCCCAATTTCCAAATCTCCAAATTCCCAAATCTCCAAATTCTCAAATCTCAAAATTCCTCAATCCCCAAATCTCCAAAATTCCAAATCCCTTAATCTCTAAATCCCTAAATCCCCAAATCTTCAAATCTCCAAAATTCCAAATACCCAAAACCCTAAATCTCCAAATCCCCAAATCCCCAGAACCCCAAATTCCCCAAATCCTCAAACCCCCAAGTTTACCAAATCCCCAAATTCCCTAAATCCCCCAAATCCTCAAATTCCCTAAATCCCCCAAATTCCCCAAATCCCTAAAATCCCCCAAACACCCACCAATAATTCCCAATAATTCAAAAAGCGTTTGAAGGGTTCACCTGAAATGAGTGAACCTGTATACCGTGTGAAAGGATGACCTTGAAATTTATTCCCGAGCGATTCGGGTGAATAAATAACAAAGAGATTAATTTAGAGGCACGGTATACCGATTTGACCTCGTTGCCTGTAACGTTCTTAATTTTTTCGCGGGATTTGGTATTTCTGCACGCGAAAACATGTTCCTTTTGCGGGACACGTGCGAAATTATTCATCGGGCGACGTTCCGAATAGAAACAACCTTTATTCACGCGCGGTGGAACAATGAACAGGTTCCCTTTGTGAGGATGCGACTTTTTAGCCTTGCGATCTTTCGGTTTTTAACAGGTATGCGGATATTAGTGATGCTTTTACTCGACACTCTTCCTATGCTGGGCAATGTGCTGCTGCTGTGCTTCTTCGTCTTCTTTATATTCGGTATCGTCGGCGTGCAATTGTGGGAGGGCATCTTACGTCAACGGTGCTTCCTAAAGGCTCTACCCAACGTCAAATATCCCGAGTAAGTTGGCAACAATGATCAGTACCTTTATCGCTTACTTTCCTATCGTTCGATTCTTGCAAATCAAATAGCCAATTTTTTTACTTGGAATTCTTTCAACTCGAATTTTATTCTGGTGATAAATATTGCTTTACAAATTTCTCGAAATTATAGCATGTTGTGTTGTTATTTTCCTGATTAGTTCCCTAGTTTTGAAAGTTTGAAAATTTGATATTTTTATGATGGATTTTATGAGTTCTAAATTTGCATGCTTTTAAATTCTGAAAATTACCAGAAATTCCTAACATACTTAATATCCTTGAAATCCTAAAAATTCTCAACATTCTCAAAATTCCTAAAATTCCCTAAAATCAAGGAATTCCTAAAATTCCCCGAATCCTTAAAATCCCCCAAAATTCTAAAATCCTAAGAATTTCTAAAATTCGTCAAATCCCTAAAATCCCCCAAAATTCTAAAATTCTCAAAATTCCCAAAAATTCTAAAATCCCAAGAATTCCTAAAATTCTCCAAATCCCTAAAATCCCCAAAAATTCTTAAATCCTAAAAATTCCTATAATTCCCCAAATCTCTAAGATCCTAAAAATTTCCAGAATTCCCAAAATCCCCAAATTTCTAAACATCCAATAAACCAAATTCACCAGACAATTGAAGTATCGAAATTTTGATGATATTCAATAGATTCTACCGTTAGAATTATATTTTAAGAACCGTAGTGTGTGTACTTCGATAAACATGAAATTAATGTAGCACAAATGTTGTTCCTGTTGATTAATTCATTTAGCACAGTTATTGCCTAGTGTTTATCTTTTGAAATTGGCCGTTTAATATGTGACAACCGAATAAATTCGCTTGTCTGTATCACCATTATACCGTTCTGTTTAACCCCTTGATGTTAAATGACGTCTGCGGTATGTCATGCGATTCGAAGAGCTACTTGACAAGCTTCAGCCACACAAATTTGTTCCGTTCATAGTGGTTGGGGACAAGGATTCCGGTAATTGCTAGAACGGTAACAGTATTCGATGTTATATCTGACTTTCGAATGAATCATGAACTCTGTATTTCAACTTTCTGTCACGTCATCTATTATTTTGACAAATTATTTAAGAAATTTTCTATTTTTGCAATGGTGTTTGTAATAATTTGTAATAGCAGCGGATGAAACTATACAGAGGTATAGAAGACTCTCAGTATATTGCCAGTTTCAATTTTTTATTATTACATCACTTTGATGGTGGCAATATAACAAGAGCCTATCTGAAGTAATTTGCTATAGTAGCGGATGAAACTATAAAGAGATATAGAAGACTCTCGGTATATTGCCAGATTCAATTTTTGATTATTACAACACTTTGACGGTGGCAATATAACAAGAGCCTATCTGTAGCAACTTGCGATAGTAGCAGGTGAAACTATAAAGAGATATAGAAGACTCTCAGTATATTGCCACTTTCAATTTTTTATCATTACACCACTCCGACGGTGGCAATATAACAAGAACCTATCTACAGTAATTTGCGATAGTAGCAGATGAAATTATACACAGATATAGAAGACTCTCAGTATATTGCCGGTTTCAATTTTCCGCCATTATACCACTTCGTCGGTGGCAATATAACTAGAGCCTACATACAACACTCGAAATTCAAGTATCAACCTTCTAATTCTTTAATCTCCACCAAAAAATGTCTTCTATACAAAATTCTTCAAGAGACAGTTCAAATAAAAATGTATAAATTTCCTCTCCTTAAATTGCCGTCAAACAAAATCATAGATGGCGTCCTCTTATATCACCAATGAACTATATTTTTAATTAAATTTATTGCATTATATTTTACAACATCAAATGTATTTTATATTACATTTAATGTACTACATTTTATATTACATTAATTACATTTAATGCATTATATTTTTATTATACTTGCATGCATCTCTATGTCACATATTCCTCTTTTTTTACGCTCTTCGATGAACTATAAATTAATTTAGATCAATGTTAGGAGTTTCATCTAGATAGAAATGGATAGACATTGAAACGCCTCGGGGATAATTGATTTTCACTTTGTGCGGTACATCAAGGGGTTAACCTGCGTCGAATTTCTGTCTGTCTTCTTTTTAGCTTCCTCTGTGTTTCTTCTGTCTTTGATCCAATTTTTGCTGGTAGCACCGTCTCATCGAGTGAACGTTAACACGTGTACGTACAGATGCTATAGCGCGTACGGATAAACGTTGGCCGTACTCTATTTCCAGCAGATGGTGCAATACAACGAATCTTGACTGTACAGGGCGTGTCAAAAGTAATGGTCATGGCACAGGTGTTCTGCTATCACAAATTTTTCGCCTCAAAATTCAATCTCGACTCATCTTCCTCTTCTACTTTTATTTTATATAAAGTCACACTCTTTCTACAGGGTGTTTCATTTAAAAAACTCAAATATGGATGTTATATTTTTTAATTTGACAATCGATGCAATATTATTTTATACGTATGCACAAGTTACTGTTCTCTGTGAGTCACGATCGTTATTTTTTGTCCACCCTGTATAAGTTTCAAGTTGTCACGTCGAATTACACACAAGTTGCTTCAACATTTGCTTCTTCCATATTTTACTACTTTTCAAATATCTGCATAAACTTGAATTTTTAATGAAATACAGCTTCAGTGAAGACAACTATTTTTATAAATCTTGTTTTAGATTTAAATAAAAAGTTTGTAAGCTAGAGTTTAGAGCGAATTCGAAGATGTTCATGAATAATTTTAGGTGCACCGTTGGACCGCGTTCTTCATCAAGTTTATTTATTGTTCTTTATTAATTTATTTATATTTTAACATTGTACATTTTGACATCCATTAAGATTATTTTTAAATAGCTCTTTGACTCGTTTGAAATTTTGAGAAGAGACAAAGTATACAGGGCGTACAGAAATAATTTCAGAAGTAGGTGGCAAAAATCGAGCATCTTGAAGCTGAAAGAAAGTCATACGAAGATGGGTGGAGAAACACTTTTATAAACACTTTTTCTTTTCGTGGTTTGGTGAGAGCCACTTCGTTAAAGGAGCATGCTACTTCTCGAAAGTCGTAGAACACTTGTCATATTTAAGAGAATTCTGGAATTTCACGCTCGCGATGCATTCTGAGTGACTTTTATCGCTTAGTAGTCATTAAAAGTACGAGAACGAGGAGATAAAAAGTTGTTTAGAAAGCCCGGCATGATTTGATGACATTAAAGTACTGCAAAATGGTACTCGTGCCATTTCAATTTCAACAGTTTCAAAATGACTTCCTCATTGAAACAATCAATTCAAAACTTGTTACAAATTATAATATTATAATATAATTTATTTTGAATGATTAAGAATTTACTTTAACCATCAAATTTCAGATAAAATTGAACAGAAAATATTAAATAAATTTAGAAGAGGTTCGATAAGTTCAGTATATGGCCACCCATTTTTGAAACACCCTGTAAAATTGTCATCTAAACAATGAAAAGTGTTCACAAAGAACAGAATTAGAATCTTAAAAGAAGCTTAACATGATTGGTGAAATTAAATAAAAGAAGTGGTTCAATAAGTTCAGCATATGGCCAGCTATTTTTGAAACACCCTATAAATCTTGTAATCTAAAAAATGAAAAGTGTTCAGAAAGAACAGAATTAGAATCCTAAAAGAAGCTTAACATGATTGGTGAAATTAAATAAAAGAAGTGGTTCAATAAGTTCAGCATATGGCCAGCTATTTTTGAAACACCCTATAAATCTTGTAATCTAAAAAATGAAAAGTGTTCAGAAAGAACAGAATTAGAATCCTAAAAGAAGCTTAACATGATTGGTGAAATTAAATAAAAGAAGTGGTTCAATAAGTTCAGCATATGGCCAGCTATTTTTGAAACACCCTATAAATCTTGTAATCTAAAAAATGAAAAGTGTTCAGAAAGAACAGAATTAGAATCCTAAAAGAAGCTTAACATGATTGGTGAAATTAAATAAAAGAAGTGGTTCAATAAGTTCAGCATATGGCCAGCTATTTTTGAAACACCCTATAAATCTTGTAATCTAAAAAATGAAAAGTGTTCACAAAGAACAGAATTAGAATCCTAAAAGAAGCTTAACATGATTGGTGAAATTAAATAAATTTAGAAGTGGTTCAATAAGTTCAGTATATGGCCACCTATTTTTGAAGCACCCTGTAATCTTCTCCTATAAAAAATGAAAGGTATTCACAACCGAATCAGAATTCTAAAAGAAGCTCAATATAACCACTAAAATTTTTACAAGTGTTTCGATAAGTTCAGTATATGGCCACCTATTTTTGAAACATCCTGTAAAACACGTTTGGCCAAAGATTGCAGCAGCGCTCATAAATCTTTAATATTATTTGTCTAGTTCCGAAACGTTTCGCATCGAATCATCTTCATAATATTTCAATTTCGCTTTCGATAATGCTATCGAAACTCGGGCACATCGATTAAATGGAAATCTCATTCGTGTCGATTATTAATTCATGGACCAGTTGTTTTTCACGTTGCATCAAACATTTAACGAATCTAAAACTCAATGAAACGACGACGAAGAATTTTCGATGAATTCCTGCAATATGCATCGCTTCAAAAATCATAAAATATTTTCTCGTCATTTTTTTTCAGTCGACTACTGTACCGTGTATGTGTTTTTCTCTGCTATTTATTTATGGACAGTCATCTAAATAAAATCGATATCCATAGTTTTTCGCGTGCAACGAGCTGCGTTTTACGGGAGCTTATTCTGGACTCTTGTTATATCGCCGTAAAGGTCAATTTTTAGAGGTTCTGTGGTTTTTAGATTTCGGGATCACGTTTTCAGATTTAAGTTTACAAATTTTAGAAATTTTTTATGTTGAAGAAGTTCGACTCTCACAGGTGTCATATATCAAGGTGGCGATATAACAAGAGTTTGTTATGTAACAGTATTTACGTTCTTAGTTTACTATATGAACAACTATAGAAAAGTGTGAATAAT